CTAACACAGATAATAGATGCAATATGACAGGCTCCCACTAAGAAAAACACCCTCAATGAGTTTCTAAGTGAGCTAGGATCCATATTTCACATGTTTTTGAGTCAGCTAGGGCATGACACTCAAAAACATGCTATTTAGGTAGACAACACATTGTCAATCATATCATATATGATTCCTAGATGAGTATGGGATAGTGATACGCTATCACTGCGTGTTACTCATCCCATCCTTACCATTAGGTCCAAGTCCGACTTGATAACCCAATTCAAGCTCAACCATATTCGAGCTATGAGAATCACGATTTCTCCATACTGTCTCACCAAGATAGTCAGGCATGCTCAGCTAGGGCATGACCCGTAACCATGACGATCGAGGCCTTGACAAATGCTCTACTAATGGGCGGTAATAGCTTGAGATTAATCATGAGGAAGAGGACAAAATTTCGGACTTGAGAAGTGTCTGAGGTCCAGTCCGGAGCTGACCAGAATCTGGTCCGCCGGACTGACCTTGGTCAGCTTCTCTGGTCCGTCGTTCTGTCATTTTTCGGAGAAATTCTGAGCTTGGTCTGGGGCTGACCAAATTTGGTCAGCCCTTGACCAACTCAGTCCGATTTCTCCTTCTCGGCTGACTAGAGGAAGCGGAGCGCAGACCAACTAGGCTTGGTCCGGGGCTGACCAACCTTGGTCAGCTCCGGACCAACTCAGTCCGGTTCCTTGGTCAGTCCGCCAGTCTTCGTCTCGGACCTGTGTTGTTCTCGCCTGGTCCGCCAGACCAGCTTTTGGTCCGGGGCTGACCAGCGAGAACTTTGGTCCTCCTGACCAAACACGCGGTCCGGAATCTGATCTGTCTGCTGGTCCGGCTGACCAACTCTTGGTCCGGCTGACGCAGACAGACCAGATTCGGAACAGATTTTTCGGGCTTTGAATATCAGGGTTTTGTCCCGGTTTCGACGCACCGTTAACCCGTCCCAGACTCCATACCATCCATGCATCATTCAACAATCACAAATATCATTAAACATGCATAGATTCAATGATTACATGCAATTTAACGATTAAATCATGCAATCATACAACAAGCACGGCGATATACAGAGAACCAGGCTCTGATACAACTGTTGGGTTTTATCTACGGGTACCTAGCATGTGATCATATCGATCTAGGTTTTGGTCTACTAGGTTTCATGCAGCGGAAGAAAGATCTAAACCTAGTCAAACGTCACACGCAACCAAACTTACAAAACCCGAAAGATTGTGTATATCACCGAGGGAAGCGTTACTTACCTCGTTCTCGATGAAACTTGAAGTTTATTTCGATCCGGGGCCTGTTCTAAATCACCTAGGACTGAAGTTATAGTCCCTCTACACGTATCCACACCGACGGGAAGGATTCCAACGATTTGGAACGTGTCTGCTAGGATTAGTGAAGAAAAGGGTAACTCAAGAGACGAGATCCAATCCCGGAACAATAGAAATCGAAGAGAACAGGTTCTCTAGGGTTCTAGGATGTTTCTCTGAGTTTTAGGTCGGCCTCTCTTAAGTTTTGACGAAATCCCAAAACTTAAATAAGCTTAGATAACCCTAAAATCGAATTATGGAAATTTTTCAGATCCCGATCCGTCGGACCAGGAGCTTGGTCCGGCGGACCAGGCATAGTCCGAGGCTCGCGGACCGTCTGACCTGGAGGCTTGGTTCGGCGGACCACGTGTGGTCAGCTCAGGACCAAGATCCTGCTTGGTCTTTCCGGTCCGCCTGGCTTCAATCTCGGTCTGTCTGACCCACTGTCTGGTCCGCGGCTGACCAACTCTTGGTCA